TTTGCACTTATTGCGGGGGTCTCTGGAACGTAACCCCCGCGATAATCAAGTGACTGCTGCATATCATGAATCCCTAATGAAACTGTTGCCGGGTCATTTTATTCCTGCTGCTCCAACAGCCGAGCGGTGTGATGCATCTCCAGAGTTTAAAGGTTGGTTTACCCCATGCCTGCATGTAATTTACACCCCGACACACAAAGTAAACGACCTGCACCCTTCTTTTAACGGCACTAAATCCAACACCATCATACTGGGACGCTTAATCTGAAGCCTGACGCACGATAAACTATGTTACAAACGTTAAGGCAGCGATACGCGTGTTTATTTAGCCGTTTACTGTGCAAACTAACTCACAGATTTAGGATTTTGTGAAGCAAGTTTTGGAAAAATGAGAGCGTTGCAGCACAGCTTCAGGGGGTGACACCTCAGCCAAAAGTCTGTTGGAAAACTAGGGCGAAACCGTTAATATCTCTCAGTGAAATCTAGGCCTAAAATGTTTTCTTCAGGCCGTTCTGTGTTCCCTTTAAGAGCAGAAGAACAGATGAAGCAATGTTGACCTACCTAATATTGATTTGGTTTGGAAAAACTTACAAAATATGTGATAGCTGCTGGCTGTTCCCTGAGGGTTCACAGTTGACAGATGTTTGAGTTTTACATACTCTTATGGTGAACAAATATCTCAGGGTGGAACTAAGCGAAAACACAGACAGGCAGAATTCCCTGAAATGTTTTTTTTTTTAATCTGTGGTTTGCTGCTGTGTCGTAAGGTTTCTGAAAACAAGATAACTAGTGTTTGAGAAAAGTTTGCTTGTTGGTCAACTCTCAAATGTCAAATCAACGGCAGGTTTAGTGTCTTTGGCTTTAAGGGTGCCAAAAACATTTCAAACCCAACGGGACTTTCAATGCAAACTGTTCCATCCTACGGACAGAACACCCAAACTGAGCAGTCTGCAGTTCAGTTGGAGAAACTAAACGGCCTCTTCACAGACGCATGGCTCAAGACAGAAGAGCCAGCTCTTCAAGACGAGACTCAGCTGTGCACCTGCACCTTAAGGATACAGGGTCCTGCATACTCCATCGGAAGCAGTGAAATCGGCTCTCATTGATGTAAAATCGCGTAACTTTGTTCTCAGAGGAGCTTCGCGTGCCCTTTCTCGGCACAAGGCCCAAACTGAACTTTTTCTTCACAAGCGTATGCGTCAAGGATTGTGTGATGGGTCAAAAGTTTGCGGGCGTGATCGTCAATGTGGAAATGTGCTCGTACATTCAGCTGTACGACACTTTAAACACAGTAAATTAGTCAAAAGCCTGAAAACTCCTGGATGGGGATTGTGCAGACATCATGTATGGAGCAGTCTGTCTGCAGAAAAGTGTGGCGCTCTCTTCATGATAGATTTGTGGCCAAACGGCAGACGCAGGGACGGAGTGGAGACTCTGGCAGGAAGTAACCTGTGAGGTGACGGATGCTGCAGTGGGAGGGGTTTCCCAGGAGCTCTGCGCCGTGTCTCGTGGACTACGGAAGGTATGTGAGAAAATGACCATCCCGCAACCACGTCACCGCGAGTCGACTGGATTCAGATGGAGGATGCAGAAGCCTTTGGGAGACACTTGAGTGCTAAAATGTTTATATTCTGGACAGAGAGGACAGGTGGTTTGAAAGCGGGAGAAATTAAGCCATCAAACAAGTAGAGCCAGGTTTAAACAGAGGAGGTCTCAAATTTCAACTTTCAAAAACCTACAGTAAGTAAGTTTCTTTCGTCTGCTCTCTTCTGCAGGGTTGCCACAGCGAGAGGACTCGAATGAAAGATTTAGTTAATTTTACAGCCTTCCTGATGCAACCTGGGCTTGAACCAACAACCTCAAGATCAAAAGACCGCAGCAGTACTTCCCCTAACATTATACAAGGAGGGCACCCTGCACTGTCAACAGAACCGAGCGCCCTGCGAAATTTACTTCACCCACAAACTCCCCCTCGTCGACAACTGCCGGCACAGACATAGTACTTTTTTTTTTTTTTTTTTACAGTACAGTACACGACTGTCAACTTTATAGTAATATTACTGTACTCACGTGATTGGGAAAAATTAAAATAATAATAATTTGGATAGGCGCCGCCATTTTGTAGTTTTCTTTCACTCATAAGAACTACAATGGCTATAAGTCATTACAATACTGTACTGTAGTGCCTCCGGCCGGCGGCCGCTGCTTTTTGCCGAACAGAAAGCAAAGTCATGACTGCCAATCCACTTTTCAAACGTAATATTTTAATCATGTCACTGGAACAAGTTTCTTTAAGAAAATTAAACTTTATGTAACCCGGGTGCTGACTGGCTGCACAGGACCAGACCCCCAGACTCAGGATTGAACCTGGAAGACTCTAGCCAGCACACGAGGGCTTCCAAGAGAGGACGCGCGCCGAAGGTCCAGCAGTCCATCTCGCCCATGGCCAGTTTTTCATGTCTTTCAACCGGCAGACGTGGACGAGCTGGTAAGTAAAATTTAGTAGCTACATATACAGTATTGTATATATGTTGTTAAAACCAGATGGGAAGCAAAACACCATCTATAGAATGGAAATCCAGTTGTTTTGTTTTTTAAACTTTTGTTGGATTAACACTCTCCTGGATGACTGAGAACCTATACCAGCATATGTACATATGCATCTTAAGAGCTCCAATCAAAAACAAGTCTTTTCGATTTTTTCTAACCACACGCAAACTTTCGCATAAAATGTGTCTCACATTTTCTTTCAGCAAAGTGCTGTGGTGAAGTGGCAGCTATTTTGTGAAATTAATAAAACACTTGTGGTGAAAACCTGAAAACTGACCAATGATACACGATAGCCACACTTCTAGCAAACATTAACACTTGGTTACGATTACTCATAAAGTGAGTCATGTCAGCAGCTGAGAATCTAATATCTCAAGCTCTCAGAATGAGGATGGGGGTACAGAGCCACGTAAAAATATACAAGTGGATCCCTTCCTCAGGGGAGCCACCGCTGCTGAACCCAACAAACAAATGTGACCTGATTCTCAAAGTCAGGGGAGATTTATTTTTAGATGTGTAGAGCCCAAAAACTGGAGCTGAGTCACAAAAAAAGTGACATGATGCATGAGGATCGGCCTCGTTACTATGTAGTGAGAATAAAAAGACATTTTTGTAATTGATTTAAAAAAAATAAAAAAATAAAACATGGAGCTGTGCTTAAAACCTTTTTCATTCAACCTTTATTTATCCAGGTTAGTCTCATTGAGTCACAAGGACTCATTTACAAGAGAGACCCGTTTTAGACAGACATCAAAGTTCATGCTCAAACATCCAGATACAAAACCCAGTAATGGTCAGCCAGGTCATCTGGACAGTTTCTTTTTTGTGGAAAGATGTTTTGCCCTCTATCCTGAGGGCTTCATCAGTCTGAGGAGTCCCAAGTAAACGGTTTTCCCCACCAAGCAGTACACTCCTTTAGTGGACCAACCAGTTTGCTGGAGATAAGATGGTTTCTGGGGGCTGTTCTGTCCCCTGACTGATGAAGCCCTCTGGATAAAGGGTGAAATGCCTTTCTGCAAAAACAAACCAAAAAAAAAAAAAAAAAAACTTCTAGATAACATGGCTGACCGTTTTAGACAGACAACGTATAAATTACAGAAAACAATAAACTACAGTAAAAAAATGCAATTAAAATAAAAGTAGTGTTATAAAACAACTCAATGTGCCATAAAACTAGGTAAAATTACTAAAAACAAGAAAATATTTGCTTTGATCCAACAAAGTTCAGTCAGGTTATCTGGACTTTTTTGTTGTTGCTGTTGTTGTCGAGACTTTTCGTCCTTCATTCAAAGAACTTCGTCAGGCTGAGGAGCCACAATAAACTGAGTCTCAGCTTGTTGTGGCTCCTCGAACCGATCAAGTTCTGTGGATGAAGGACAAAACATCTCAACAAAAAAAAAAAAAAAGAAATCATCCAGATGACCTGACTGAACTTTGTTGAATTTTTTTTAACCTGGATTTTTGAGCATGAACTTAGATGTTTTTGAATCACTTTGGCTAAGTCTGCCTGAGAGAAGTCGACGGGGGAGAGGGCAGGTTCCAGAAACCATTTTATCACCAGCAAACTGGTTGGTCGACAATGTGGTTGTGCTGCTTGTGGGACTCAGATTCTTGTGGCTCTTTGGACTGATGGAAGTTATTTGGATGAAGGACGAAACGCCTCAACAAAAAAAGAAACCGCTAGAGGACCTGACTTAACTTTGTTGGGTATTTTGTTTTACCTGGATTATTGAGCATTAACTTTCATATTTGAAATTAATGTTTCTATTGGCATTATTAAATGTTTAAAATCCCCTAAAGAAAATGGCAAATAAAATAGAAAAATGATTTTGGGATCCTCACATAAAGTAAAAAAGTAAAGTGTCATCGACATAGAACTAAATACGTTTTAACCTGCAACTGAGGGGGTAGATAATAGGAAAGTATTGTAAGATAAAATGAACAAATTGCACTGTAGGTTTTAATATCTACAGTAAATATCAATTTATTCAACCTTTATTTACATACAAAACATAACAGAGTCGAGATCCTCTTTTTCAATGCCACTGATTACATTTCCCATACTGTCACATCTTTTTCTTTACAGTATCCGTTTCTTTTTAGTTTTCAGCTTAATATATTTGTAACATTATCAGTCTGGTTTATTAAAAATGTATATTTTGATTTAGACAACACACAATCAGCTTGTACTAGGACAATGAAGGTTCTTGTGATGGGATAAGATACTTTAGGAACTATAAATACATATTTTGTACATGAAAATGGCTCCAGCTACCAAACAAAAAAGTGTTGAATGAAAACTGGGAATTAAAGTAAAATAAAAATAAATCAGCAGCCCTAAAACTGAAGAGCACTCAACAAATAAAGCCCAAATTCTTCCTAGTTGAGTTTGTTGATCTCTCCAACTGTTTTTTGCTTGTGGGAATAATTTGAATGTGAATTCAACTCACCTGCTAAAGTGTAATCCATATCAAAGCCAAAGCACTTGATTTTCTCCATTGCCAAACTTCGATTGACGAAGATTCTGAAGATAAAGAAAAGTTGGGAAAACATTTTAGTTGCAGAGGAACAATGAACGAGCCACTCCGAAAGTAGCGTCAGAAGTTGAAAAAAATTGGGTGAAAACTCACTAAAATCCTTAAAACTAAACCTGTGACTTTTATTATATCCTTTAGAAAGTTGCTGCAAAACACGCTCGGATATTGCACCAATTCAGGAGAAAACTACAAGTTTAATTTAGGTTGTGAAACATCGTTTTGATACAGCCAATCAAGGAAGGCGCCACTGTTTGCAGAGTGCAGACAGCAGCTACAGTTAGGCTAAAGACTCCGCCGTGGTCTCTTTAACTGAATGAGGTCAAGCTTTAAATCTAAAAATGAACAAACTGGTTTGTGATCATTTATAGATTTTAGCTTCAGGAGGCTCATTACTGTTAAAGTAGAATAAAGTTTATAGCTTTGCAAAGTTTTGAAGACCAGACAAAACAAAAAAAAAGTCCAAGTAATCATCTTAATTCACACAATATTTTTTTATAACAATAGTCTTCTTAAACTCAAAATTTGTGAGCAAAACTTGCGACCACGTGATGCTTTCCATTTGTGTTTGTTTATGTACAGAAAACGGTTAAAGTGATTAAAAACAGACCAACCCTAAACGTATGGATTGTTTTTGTCGACCTACGCTGAATACGGTCAGTCGACCATGTGACTTCAGCCTCTATGTCGCTTTCAGCTGAGCAATTTGTTTACATTGAGTGCGTACCTGCATTTCAGACATGTACATCAACGTATATGAAAAACTAGTGGAGTGTCAAACAGCACCATTTGATGCAGGTCAGTATAACCTTTTATGTTTGATTTTATACTTTGCAATGAGTGCCTACCCACATTTATTAAAACTGCAACACATTTTTATGTTTTAGAAAGCATTACATCCAGATGACTTTAGTTATGGTCATTATAGGTGCAGAAACAACCATTCTGTTCCATTTCAGAAGAGTCTTGCTGATAAGAAGTCATTATGATGAGGAGTCCAAATTAGTTACAGATATTGACAATATTGGATTTAAAAGCAAAACGCAACAGTAAAGCCCTGGCGTGTGACAATCGGTTAACAAAAATCTAATTCAAACGAGTGTTTTCTTGTCCTATTACGTCATCAAAAACTTATTCAGCCATTTATTTAACTTTTTTTTCTTAAAGAGTAAATTCATGTTTTAATTGAATATTTTGCCATAGTACAAGAACAAAATGCTAAATATTCCAACAAAATATCACTCATGATTATATGACCGTTTATCTACGGTGGCTCAGTTGGCACAGAAAGTGTGAAACTTCTGGTACAAAGGCAAAGCGACACAACTTATCTTGAGCAGCTGTGGCTGAGCTGAATGTGGAACTGATATAATTCCACAAAGATCAATATTTAGCCTCACAACGAAAGAAAATTCAGAAACATCACGCAGAACAAAGACAGCTCATCTGATCCACAAGCTAAAAACTGATAAAGCATGCAAAGAATCCCCCCCACCCCCCACCACCACCACATCTTATAATCCTGCGTCATCTCCAAACCACTTGTGAGTACCTGGCAGCAGATCCATAGTGGACAAGTTCCCATTTAGAGTTGAGTCCAGGACACGAGCGGCGATACATCGTGGGCGAAATGACTCTGTTTGACTGTGCGTTGGGCCGATCTGCTTCCACACAGCGCAGCGCTGGCCCTCAAACAATGCCCCCCCCCCCTCTTTGCTTTCTTGCCATTCAGAAATTTTCTCACTTGTTGCAAAATTGATTGTGTCCGTTCTGCGTCATTCTCTGTTGTTGTGCACGTGTGTGCTGTCAGTCAGGGTTGTTGTTGTTGTTGTGCAGCAGGATGTTTGTGCGCCCTCAAAGACATCTAGAACAATCCCAAGTGGGGTCGAATGAAGCCGGTCAGAGCCCCGAGCGGCAGCTGCTGCACGACTCAGGACAAACGCAGCTGAGGCTGCAGCCGAACAGCATTTCTTTATCACCTGGACTCTAAATAAGAAAGCTTTAAAAACTTCCAGCACTATTTTCTATTTAAAATAAACTCTTCAAAAGACAAAAATATATAAATTAATCCTAATTCATGCTCAATAATCCAGGTAGCAAAAACAACAACAAAGTTAAGTCAAGTTCTCTAGACCAGTGGTTCTCAAACTGTGGTCCCTGGACCCCCAGGGGTCCACGAGTCAGTGCTTGGGTTTTTTTTTTTTTTTTTTTTTACAAGCGCATAGATTTTTAACAACCCAGCGTTAAAATACACCAAAATGAAGGAAATCATATCTACTTTATTTTTAAAAAATTCAGGGGGGGGGGGGGGACCATTAATAATAACTCATTAATAATCATTTTTAAAACTTGTCATTACAAGTAAGCAGGCTCACCACGTAGTGAAATCAAGTGTAATTTATTAATTTCTTTATAATTCAGGTTTTAAATAACCATTTGTCAGTAAGTCATCTGCTGTAAGCAGTGTGAGTGTTCGTACATACAAAGTTTGTTTTGGAGAGTAAAGTTTTTTTTCGTTAGAAAAGTAATCTGAGCATCTAGCAGAAACATAACAGCATTAAATCTTTAAAATTGTCTGTTTTGATGCATGACTAGTGTTTATAACTGTTTTATAACTGTTAAATGCTTTGTAAAGCTTTGCAACCTGGTTATAACACATTAACAATTTTTTAAGAGGTGCTTAGGGAGTGGTACCTAAATTGTTTATGCTGGAAACTTTTAAATCATAAAATTTTAAGTGATAACTTATTTATATTATTAAGTGATAGCTTATTTTTCTTTATTTTAGAGGTTTGGATGTTAAAAAGCTAATTATACATCTGGTTTTTTTTTACGATTAATGTAAACTTTAAAATAATTCATTAGTGACAGAATTGCATCATTATAGCTTTACTTTCCTTTGTTAATTAAATAATCTAATAACTAACTTGTATTTTTCTCTCAAAATTAAGAATTTGTTTAAATCTAAGAAGATAGCTTTAAATGTGATCACTTAGGCCACATAAGATTAGCAGTAAATTCATCCCGGTTTATCTTATCTGTTCTTTGGCATTTGAAATGTAAATGCTTCTGGGAGGTAAAGAACGTCCATAAAAGATAAGTTGTGCTCCTCCTGGGCTGCTCTGTACGGACGGTGGGTGTGGGTGCCTTGATTACAGTCATCGACTTTGGTCCTGCTGACAACTGTGGGCCTTCAAATAGTTCATACGGGCCGCCCTGCGCCTGCGAGAAAATCCCTTAATAACTTTTATTCCATCTGAAGCGGCCGAGGACAGATTTTTTCCACTGCTCTCTAATCTCACGCAGACAGCGGCTGGACTTTGTGTGATAAGAGATTATCTGAGCTATAGGGAGCTGCTCAGCCCCCTGCAATTTATTTA